ATCATCAGTCAGCATATGTTGTTTACTGCTGTGGAACAACACTGATGAAAGTAGAATGGCTTTGAAGGAATAACTGCTTGCATAAGCAAGACTTTTTTTCTCAGCAGTGTCTTTTGATTTTCTATTCCTTGGAGAATTTCTCAATTTCATCATCTTAATTGAGGAGAAATATGCGATCACGACTAGGGTGAGATAATGAAAAAAAGTCTGATGCACTTTGTGCAATTTTATCCATGAGAGTAGTAAAATATTTGATAAATTTGTTCTGTTCTCTCAAAAGCCTGCAGGCCAGGCCAGGCTGAATCAGAGCAGGCCAGGCCAGGCCCAGGCCAAGCATCTTACTTTTAGCCTGGCCTGCCATTCGTACTGGCCTGGTCAGGCCAGGCTGGAAAAAACTGGCCTGTTGGCAGCTCTGGTTTGAATTACTACTGGCGTTTGAAGTAAGAAGATAATAGACTCTTTGTTTACAAATATTAGTTTTATAAATTTATGATATGAATAATCTTAATTATTTATGAGAAGAGAACTTAGAAACATAATTTATATATTTATTTCAATTATTTTTATATTTAAGCATTAGAAAAAAAATTATAATTGTCTCTAGATGATGCCTTTTTAATATGTTCATATTTTTATTAAGAACATTTTAAAGATGATGTCTTACTATACTCAACGCATAGATACCATGCTTGTTATTTAGTAACTCATACAATTGAACTCCATATTCTATTTATTTTTAAGTTGAGTTAAACCAGGCAAAGAGCAGCAAACAATTTTAAAGGAAACGATTTTTTCAAATTAAACAAATCCTAACCGCTACTGTCATTGTTTTTCGGTTCACATTTGAATATAAATAGTATATGCATCTATATACCTTCAACATCATTTAATTATTCATATTATTCTCTGGAGATACTAAAGAATAATTTTTGTACACTGCATTTTGATGCATGTCTGCATTAAAATGTATTCAAAGTAATAACGAATAAAAAAATTCTAAAAAGTGGTAAAAAGAATAACATTATCTAAAGGATATTGTACTTTACTATATAATAGTGTGAGTTTAGCTAAAGAGAAATTTATTGATAAAATAATATTTCACTTCGATAAAAGAGCATATCATGAATTTTAAATAAGTTACAGTTAATTTTCGTACTCTCTTAAAGATTTCTTCAACAAAAAACAATTTTGTTAACAATAAAAGCAAATCAGCTGTGAATAATTCTGGAGTCTTGATATATCTTTAAGAAAACATGTAATCAAGAGATGATTCTGTAGTTTCTTTGTCTTTGGTTAAAACGCTTCTTTGAAGTGCAAATGTGTAGTTTAGCAAAACAAATTCTATTACCTAGATCACTAATTTATACGACTAATAACTGATATTCTCAATAAATCGAATTTATTCTAGAAAAGAAAAACAAATATTTATAAGCCTCGCTTGTTGGATATAAATTCATAAGTGAACCGATTTAAAATCAATAAAAAATTGTTCATTATATAATTTATACAATGATGTTCAATTGATTGCATTTTAATATTTGATCTCAATAAGTTTTGAATTTCTTTTTTTATTTTTGAACAAAAATACTGTTTTCTAAAGAAAGAATGATGTCATTTCATTTTAAAAGGCTCTAAATTTATGAATTGAATTATCGTATCAATGATACATGATCTTCAGATAGATATCTAACAATAATAAAATATCAATCATCTTTTTTCAATAGTAGCACAATAAAATTGAGTATAAATATATTAGATTATTTTGAACTTCTTCAACAAATCGCTGAATAGACTACATACTCAACCATATTAGCGTACGAATATTCATTAATATTATTCTAACTCATTAAATTGAATGAACACATTTGCTTTTTAAACGTGATCAACACTTAAAGGCACAGTTATAATTTGATCAGAAAACCTGAAAAATTAACAAACGTATTTTGAAAAAGTTTTTCTTAACGCCTGGGTCGAACGTTTGTAGACAAAATATTTGCGCGCTTTTCCCCTATGTGAAAGCATTTCAGCAGAGTTTAAAGTTATGAGTCAGAAACAGAATTTTGTGCTCTTCTCGAATATGGATTCAAAAGTTTTGTGACTGTTGTCATACGGGAGAAGTACGAAAATCTTCGAAAGATCCAGAAAAATAATTTGGATCGAATGGTTGGGCTGAAGTTTCTGCACACTAGTTCGTTTATTTTTGGCCTACTGAAAATGATTCGAGATGAGTAGAAAACTATTAGTTAGGAACAGAATTTTGTGGTCTTTTTGAATATGGATTCACAAATTTTGTATCTGTCTTTGAACGAGAGTAGTGAGAAAATCTTTGAATATCTTGAAAAAATAGTTTCTTTGAGCGAATTAACACACAGTTGCTGCCCTCGTAAGTTCCTTTCCAAAGTTATGAAAAGCAATTGAATTCGGTAATTTTTTAGAGGAGACAATTGTGTACTCATTGTGACGTCGAACTTAAATGTAGTTTGTACAGAAGTGAAAATATGAGCATTTTCTTAGAAGCTATTTCGACATTAAACGGATTTAAATGAAAAAGCCGATTTTTCAAGAATGATGATGATAGAAAAGCAAAGTGTGCCAATATTGATGACACGGTTCGATGATTCTCCTTCTTTCTCTGTCTGTTCTCTTTCCGTTGTTCTAATATATCTCTCTCCTATATATATGTGTGTTATGTATGAAGTTGTGACACTCTGGATATATGAAGTAGCTAATAAACATCATTGCCGAGAGTGGCGGCAAGCCACTCCAATCCAGTTTGTCGTTATATCTCTTCCTAGCTCGATATCACGATATAATCGTCTTATCGTTACACAAAGGTTTTGGTGTACTATCGGAAGATGAAATAGCAGACTTTATAAAGCAGAAGTCGCTCTACAATCTGATATAGGAACCAAAATTTCAGTGTTGAATTTCGATTCCAAACAGAAAATGTACGAAAATATTTCGGCCCAAACTATCTTTTAAGAACTTTCAAAGATACGTTTACTACTAATGAGTAAAACTAAATACAAAATTTCTGAACACATAATCGGGAAGAGCACAAAATTCTGTTTTTGACTCATAACTTTTGACTTTTCTAAAATGCTTTCACATGGGCGAAAACCGGGCAAACATTTTGTGGGTGTGCGGATATGGGTGCGGATGTGGGTGTGGGTGTAGATTGACAAATACAATACAACCACACCCACCCACACCCAAACCCACACAGACACCCACACCCACACCCACACCCACACCCACACCCCACACCCACACCCACACCCCACCCTTTTCTTCAATTTTTTTTCAAATATAAGTACTTAAAAAAAATGATATAAGTTTTGAATAGCATCGCTTGCGACTGTCATCTATCGTCATCGTTTATATAATTTCGATTATTTCTATATGTTTTTTCTTTACAGTATTCTCGGTGGTTACATTTTTTGACGAATATATTTTCTTTCCTGTTCTCTATTATGTCTAAAGTGAACTAGTACCCACAATTATTCAATAAGAAACATTGTAGAAAGTATTTCAGTAAACGCTATTTCACATTACACGACCTTCATCTGTATCTATATTAGTGGAGTATTTAAAAATATGTCATTGTTTCCCATAATATTTTTATGTTAGCAGTAATTATTTGAGTAAAATTTCTCTTTTAGTTCAATTTTTGCTCTTGTCTCAAGATCGTATTGTAATGACTATTATTAGTAATGTGCTCTGGTTTCGAATATTACTTTTCTTACCATTTACTTCGATTCTAACGTTTGTTATAACTTTAATAATATGTAGTCAAATACCCCACAATACTGAATCAAAAAGACAGTTACCTTTTATATCAGATCTTGGGACTGGTGATGCACATAATTATTTTATGTCCGGTTTTATTGTTTTGGTTCCACAATTATTAATCATGTTCATTGGCAGAGTTCAGGTTTTAGTTCAATCTCAAGCAATCGTTCATAGGACTATCATATTTTCCCTTCACATTATCATTCTTGCTTGTGACATATGTATTCTAATTATGGCAATCGAAAGGAGGGACACTAATTCAGGTGTACATAATATTGGTGCAATCGGTACATTTGGGTGCTTTCTATTATATTGTATTCTTCACACAACACTTATAATTTATCTCTTCATTCGCCGATCCCAAGCTTCTGAATATTCGACTATTGTTTTACCTTTATGGTATCTTGGATGCACGATTATATCAATCATCTCCTCTATCACTATAGCTGTTACATATGCAAGTATTCCGGAATATATTGCCTCTGGAACATCTTTTCTTTATTTTCTTGCATTTGTACCACAATTCTGGATGAGAGCAAAAACAGTTCGAAAAACTACTGATATTACTTCACATGTAAATAAGTCCAATACGAATGAAGCCTAAAAAGAAAATGAAATATTTTGTACTAACTGTTTGGTGGAGTTCATAAATATTTTCAGAGACAATAAGGAAACGGATAAGTGAATGATCAGGCAGTGTCGGCAAGCATATCTATACCAACACTAATACCAGAATTCACAAAAAACATATCTGCACACATCGATGTATATGTTTTTGTTATCACCAATAAGAATTCTCTGAAGCATTACCCTTAAGTATATGAAACAATAAATTATTATTTCTGGTTTGATATACAATCCATTTCGCGCTGAATGTACTGTAAATATTCTTAAAATGTAAGTTTCTATTGATAAGAAAGAGATTCTTTTATTCATAGTCAATTTTAAAAATAGTCAGGAATGAGTTATGTCATTTTATAATATATGATGTTGGCTGGTGTAATTTGTAAGGTTTCTCGAGTTAATCAATAATATCTCATGTAGTCTGTTACATTCATGTTTAATTTAATTTTAAAAATTATAAAAATGATGCAAAGCAAAAGAAATCGTGATTAACTTTATCGTGCATTTATAAAATGATCAATCGAGAATTTGATAAATCTCTGCAATAGAATAGATATAATATTCTTTTTGTGAGACATTGACTATCAATTGAAGGACGGAGAATGTCAGTGTCGGTGTTGCTGTGAATGTGAATATTGTTATAATGATGCATGTAACGAGGCCGTACCTATGCAGTGACACACCTCTGGAGCATCGACTCACTTTTTGTGTTGAATCGATTTGTCAAAACAGAGTTAAGAGATGACAATGGATAGGTTATATTTTTTTTGTTGTTTTAGTTTTCCAGAAAAAATACTTTTATTTAATTATTCACAGCAGAGGTGTTACCGTCCCTGAAAATTGATCAATGGCGGCGGAAAATAAGGGTTAAATTTTTAAAGAGTGATGGTGGTTCTGACGTTTCTGTCGAGGCGTCGCTCAGTAGGCTACTGAAGCTACTTTTCTTGATCTACTTCACAATTTTATTGTCAAATTGCTGCGTAGTTAATATTGTATAATCAATCGATCATGTATGCTCAATTCCATGTAATTCCACTGGATGATGGAAATAAATTATAAAGTAATTCAAGTGAAATGAATTACAAAGTAATTCAAGTGAAATGAATTACAAAGTAATTCAAGTGAAATGAATTACAAAGTAATTCAAGTGAAATGAATTACAAAGTAATTCAAGTGAAATGAATTACAAAGTAATTGAAAAAGTACAACACTCTATAGACTATAAAGG